AAATTTTCACTTAGATAAAGATCGAAAAAGCTGACAAGGACTGAGGCAGAAAAGACTTTCCCATCTCTATGCTGCTGCTCCGTAGATATCTTTATTTATGTGTTAAAATTTTCAAGACGGAGATTAATGTAGTCAATTTCTAAAAGTATATCGATCCCATTAGACGTTTTAAATATATAGTGACTAAAACGAACTCGAGTTGAAATTATAGTGATCAAAGTAAATATTTTGAATATTAATATATACGTAAACAGACAAATTGAATGTCAAAGTCAACCGTACTTAACTTGTAAACATAGCTCAATAATTGTTGTCATGTACTATTTTCTTAGTAAAAAAAAATGTCGATAAATTATTTATTGCTTTATTTTTGTGTGGTTTTAATTGTTTTTCACTTATTATATTTAAAAAGAAAAAGAAAAAAAAAGAATAATTTTTTTTATTTCTTAATGAAATTGACAACGAAGATCCATCTTTGTCAAACAATACCTACCTAAGATTTCTCTTTTATATCATTTTCCCCCACTTTTGGTTTTAGATAATTAAATGAAAAGAAATTATGATTAATTACGTCTTAAATAAGAAATTAATATTTTTTTTTTTCAAAATCTTATGGCCTCGTGGTAACCGTTCAAGCCCACTACTAATAGATATTGTCCGTTTTAGCCCGTTACGTATTGTCGTTAGTCTCACAATTTTAAAATGCATCTTCTATATAAGGAATGGTCCGTTCCCCTCTCCAACCGATGTGGGGATCTCACTAACTTCATATTTTAATATTGTTACTGTATCAAAAGATCTTAGCTGGTTCATGGGTTGAGCCAAATAGGGTGTTCCTCTTAAGCAAGTCTCGAGAGGACTTGGTTTGGTTGATCCGTGATTTATGTTTTAACAGTTAAAGCCCACTACTAATAGATATTGTCCGTTTTGGCTCGTTACGTATCGTCGTCAGTCTCACAGTTTTAAAACGCATCTTCTAAAGAGAGATTTCCACACCCTTATAAGAAATGTTTCGTTCCCTCTCAAACTTATGTGGGGTCTCACTAACTTCATATCTAAATATTGTTACCGTATAGAAAGATCTTAGTTGGTTCATGGGTGGAGCCAAATAGGGTGTTCCTCTTACGCAAGTCTTGAGAGGACTTGACTTGGTTGATTCGTGATTTATGTTTTAATAGTTCAAGCCCACTACTAATAGACATTGTCCGTTTTGGCCCGTTACGTATCGTCGTCAGCCTCACAGTTTTAAAACGCATCTTCTAGGGAGAGATTTCACACCTTTATAAAAAATGTTTCGTTCCCCTCTCCAACTGATGTGGGGTCTCACTAACTTCATATCTAAATATTGTTACTATATAGAAAGATCTTAGCTGGTTCATGGGTCGAGCCAAATAGGGTGCTCCTCTTAAACAAGTCCTGAGAGGACTTGGCTTGGTTGATCCATGATTTATGTTTCATCTTTCGTTTCCTTTTCATTTGTTTCATTAATATATGTATCGATCAATTCCCAATTCTTTCTTTTTTTTTTTATTGATTTTTTTCCGATCGGTGTGAAATTGAAAGCGTTAAGTTATCTACAAAAATAAATAATAAAAAGAATTAAAGGGGGAGAAGGAGAAGTCTTTACCTACCACATATCCAAATCATGATTAAGTTAATTTAAAATTGAATTAATAATTGGGTAAAGATGATTAGTGGTACTAATTGGAAGTTAAGGAAATAGTCATAAAAAGGATTAAATTATAAACTCTAATGTGCTCTCTTTACGTGCATTCATTGTTCTTCAATTTCTTCAACCAAACGCCTTTAGATTTAGTCTTTTCAAATCTTTTTTTTTTTTTTTTTTTATATTTGAAATTTGAGAATTAGTTTTCTCAAAGATTATGTAGTTTGCAATAATTTTTAGAAAACTAAAGCAAAAATATAATAACCCGCTTACTGACCCATGGATTCATTTGTATTTAGATTCTTGAATTTTTAAACTCGACATTTTAACCTTTGAAACTTGAAAAAAAAATGGTTTATTTAGTCTGTGTGAATAGTGTAGTCGTTTGTTGTTTGCTCCTCTCCCTCGATTTAATATCGAGTGGAAGAAGAGACAAGTAGATGTTGGATGAAAGTCTCACATCGGCTAATTTAGAGAATGATCATGGGTTTATAATCAAAGAATCCTATCTCTATTCGTGTGAGGAGGCCTTTTGGGGAAGTCCAAAGCAAAGTCATGAGAGCTTATGCTCAAAGTGGACAATATCATATTATTGTGGAGAGTTGTGTTCATCTAACCGTAGACAATGATAATATGCAATGAAATCGGTCGCATTTAATAAGAGGGTATCATGCTATAGTTCAAAATAGTAGAGGAATAAAAGGAAGTTACATTAATGACAATGTTTGTATATAGGAGAATTTAATGTGAGGTTTGAATAATAATTACATGATATACATATTTGAATTTGTGACGCTGGAGTACATGAATGAACCGAAATCACATTTAAAAGAGAGCGATTTTGAGAGTATGATAGTTAAATATGCTTTTTTAGGAGCAAAATTATGTTGGGTGTTGGTATATGGGGATAGTTTTCACTCTTAGAAACAAGAAATATATATATGTCATAGGAGAATGTCAAGATTATCATGTGAGATCCACATTAGTTTGAGAGGAGAACGAAACATTCCTTATAAGGGTGTGGAAACCTCTCCCTAGTCAACACGTTTTAAGAATCGTGAGACTGATGGTGACACATAACGAGCCAAAACGGACAATATCTACTAGCGGAGGGCTTGAGTTATTACACATTAGATGTCAAACTCAGATTTTGAATCTTGATTGGTGATACGTAAGGAGTCAAAACGGGCAATATCATCAGTTGTCAAACTCAAGGTTCATATCCTAATCTAAATTTTGAACGTGAGACGTTACAAAGTTATTTGTTAGTGAGAGTCGGTTATCAAATTTTGTATGTGTATATCATATTCATAAAGTCATTAAAATAGGGAGATGGTGACACTTGGAGAACTACTCCATTAAAGTTCAACCTTCATATTTTGGCTGTTTTCTCTTCTTTTTCTTCGATAAACAATGAACACAAGACTACAAATTAGAGAATGTCAAGAAAGTGTCCAAAAGTAGGAGGAATTAATGATGTTTTAAAGAATAAATTTATACACGATTACGTACATTTTTATAGTCAACTTTCTCGACTCGTTTTGGATTCAGTTGGTTTAGTTTGTCCATTTTTTACCCTTTTGAAAGTATTTTCGATCCAATTAAGATTAAAAAATGGCATTGTTTTAGACAATTTATAATATTTAACACGTTTAGAATTTGTTTTAGAATAATTTAATGATGTTGACTCATAGATAGATTTAAAGCTCAATTTTATGAATGGATGGAATACGGATCATGTGAAGTGAATCTAGGAATAGTTTGCCAAAACACGTTTAGGAGAGCTCCAAGTTAAGCCTGAAATTGTAAGTGAGTTTACTCTTGGAACGTCTTTAGCCTAGGTTGGATGAGTTGTTTGGCGCATGAATAATGTATAATGTATGACTTATTTACGTGTTATTATTTATGATATGATATGTTAATAAACTTTTGTGATGCATGTATTTCCTACTTATATTCTTATTTGTTAAGCATGAATGATTCAACGAATATATATATACGTCTCATAGGAAATTTATGTCATGATAAATAAGAACCATAATTCTTAACGTGGGACCTCATACATTTTTTGGCAATTGAGTGTGTGCCAACCCATAGTCATACTTAGCGGCACGTATACAAGTCTAAGTCTGCCTAATAAATTCATGTGTGCGTAGACAGAGAAGTATTATGCATCCAACTCACTTAAAAAAGAAAAAGTAGAGCCCAGTAAACCGTTATGAAATATAAATCACACTCGTTATAAAGCATGTTGCATTTTTAAAATATTAATCCTTTCAAACAAAAACAAGGGTCTTATGTACATGTTTTTCTTTTATATCGATTATGTTTTTACCATGTTTGCAAGGTTTATGAACGAAGTCCATGACAATTTTATAGATGGAATGTTTTCAATAATTTTCTCACATGATAGTCATGAAATACACCTACTGATCAATCTATTTTTAAAGAAAAAGTAGGCCCCTTACACTAACCAGTTTACACTAACCAGTCTAAACTTGTGGTCGATCAATTTTACCAAATTTTACTTGTGGTAATGCTATTTTTAAGGTTTTTTTTTTTTGTTCAATCGAAGAATATGTCAATTACTATAAGTTATGCTCATATTGACTAATTTAATCGATCATATATATACCACTCTCCAATTTTCTTATGAACACATACGAATGTCAACTTTTATTATATTAGTCACCAAAGTCTAAAATAAAAAGCAACGAGCACTGAAAATAGAATGAAATATGATAGATGATACATTATTATACATAATGTTGACTAACGAACCATTTAAAAAAATAGTTGGAAATCTTAAAAGCATGTATGATAATGTCATGTTGGGTAGAATGAAGAAAAATGGCATACCAAAACATTATTGTAGCTTCAATATGTGCATAAAAGATTTGACATTTCCTTAGTCAAACACTTGTTCATTTAGGCATTTCATTTAGGCATTTCATCAAACACCTTACATAACATGGGATTTCACAACTTTCATTATATATATATATATATATTAATCATACCACTTGGATAGTTCTTCAAACCCATCTTCCAAAAATTTAAATTAATCAAAATTTTGTTTTTTTTAAGTATTCAAATGCTACCAGAGATGCATCATTGATACCAAACATATATCATCAATCAATAGGACATACCAAACATATATCATTGATCAACAAGATATACCAGACATATATCATTGATCAACAAGATATACCAGACATATATCATCGATCAACAAGACATAAAACATATACCATCGATCAACAAGATATACCAGATATATATATCATCAATCAAGGGACATAAGGAAATGAGAAAACTCAAGATAATGATTTTAAAAAAAACAAGGATTTATTTGGGACAATAAATATGATATCATCACAGCTACAAATGGAGGATAAGGTGGGATTATAATACTTACTTGAAACTAAAAATGCTTGATTTTCAAGGCCTGTGGTCAGTGTGGGGATGTTTCAAGTGTGGGGTTCAACAATTCTTTTATATGATGCTCGACTCTCTTGCGAACGGAACTGGAAGGCAAGCGTTCGATCACCTCGGATCCGAAAGAAAATATCAGAGCCTTCCTTGCTGTCTTCAAATCGATGCCACGAGCCTGAAAATAGAAGAGTTGGGTTTCCTCCAGGTCACTTATAGCAGCTCCATGCGAACACTTGACATCATCGGCAATGATTTGAAGATTCGGTTTGACGTTCACAGTCGCTCGAGGTTCTAGAAGAAGACTCCTTGTTAGTTGTCCTGCGTCTGTTTGCTGTGCATATCTGGAAAATTCAAGTTCTTGGATTAAGCAGTGAAAATTAGTGACAACAGAATGATCTTATTAGTTTAGCAAGATGAGAATGAAAAGAGTGATGTAAAGCACTAAATGAAACACAAGAAACGAACCGCAAAGACGGTCATTTTCCCAAAATAATAAAGTTTTGCCTTAGTTAATTATGAATGTAATAGCTCAAGACTACCGCTAGCCGATATTGTCCTCTTTGGGTTTTCCCTTCTGAGCTTCCCCTCAAGGTTTTAAAATGCATATGCTAGAAAGAGGTTCCACACCCTTGTAAAGAATGTTTCGTTCTTCTCCCTAACCGATGTGGGATCTCTCAATCCACCCTCCTCCAGGGCCCAGTGTCCTCGCTGACACTCATTCCCCTCTCCAATCGATGTGGGATCTCCCACATCGGTTGGGGAAGAGAACGAATCATTCTTTATAAGAGATAGGTAGCTTCCCCTCAAGGTTTAAAAATGCATATGCTAGAAAGAGGTTTCCACACCCTTGTAAAGAATGTTTCGTTCTTCTCCCTAACCAACGTGGGATCTCACAGTCCACCCTCCTCTAGGGCCCAGCGTCCTCGCTGACACTCACTCCCCTCTCCAATCGATGTAGGATCTCCCACATCAGTTGAGGAAGAGAACGAATCATTCTTTATAAGAGCGTGGAAACCACTCCCTAACAAACGTATTTTAAAACCTTGAGGAAAAGTCCAAATAAGACAATATCTGTTAGTTGTGGGTTTGGGCGGTTACAATGAAGACAAAGAATGCATTCAACCAGTACTTGCAGCATCCAAGCAAACTTTTACGATATTAGTCATCATCTCATCTTAAACCACAAGAAAATTTAAAATTATGTGAAAGGTAAACCAGTTTCTCCATCAACTTTCCTAGTAGAACTATCACTTCAAGAAAGAGCCTTTATCTTTTTCTTCTTGGCATATCTATGTATGTTTTCTATATTCATATTTGATTGATAAGTAATTGTGTGAGATCCCACATCGGTTAGGGAGGAGAACGAATCATTCTTTATAAGGATGTGAAAGCTTCTTACTAGCAGACACGTTTTAAAAACCTTGAGGGAAAGTCTAAGAAGGAAAACCCAAAAAAGACAATATCTGCTAGCAGTGGACTTGGGTTGTTACAAGTGGTATTAGAGACAAGACACCGAGCGATGTGCAAGCGAGGAGGCTGAGCCCTGAAGGGGAGTGGACACGATACAGTGTGCCAGTAAGGACGTTGGGCCCCGAAGGGGGTGGAGTGGGGGGTCTCACATCGATGGGAGAAGGGAACGAATGCTAGCGAGGACGCTGGGCCCCGAAGGGGGGAGGATTGTGAGATCCCACATCGGTTGGGGAGGAGAACGAAACATTCTTTATAAGGGTGTGAAAACCACCCCCTAGCAGATGCATTTTAAAAACCTTAAGGGGAAACCCGAGAGGGAAAATCCAAAGAGGACAATATTTGCTAGCGGTAGACTTGGGCGGTTACAAATTGACACATTTTTTTAATCATGAAGTGACTTAGAACTGCAAGGATTGTAATTATACGAGGATGACGAACTTGTGTTGAGAAATCCGATCTATGGTTAACGAGTCTACGAAAGAGAAAGAAAGAAGTACCTGTTGACCTTTACGTTACCATCAAATACAGCTTGTCCTTGGGGATTGGCGACGATACATTTATGAAGTTGTCGAGAATATCCGCGTGGGTGGTCGAGCACTAGGCTACTGTGTAGATCTTGTGTTTGATTGCCAACTGATAAGTGCAGTGTTGATAATTCTGTCGTAGTCTCTGGTCCCAATTGCTGGATATGGACATTGTGTCGACTCAATCTTCCGCCAGTGCTAATCTCCACAAGCTCGTAAGCACTGGTTGATTCCTGTAATAGTTTCAGATAATTATTTTTGTGCCGCGCTCAACCTTTCGAGCAACAAAGTCAAGTATAAGACATGAAAAATGAGAGCAAATAATGATGAAACCAAGTAGCATCAAGACGGTTAAAGAGCATCGGTAAATCTATTTTTCTTGATTATCTCATACCATGTAACCGTTAAAGTCCACTGCAAGAAGATATTGTCCGCTTTTGCCTGTTACGTATTGCCGTTAGCCTCACGGTTTTAAAACGTGTCTGCTAGGGAGAAGTTTTCACACTTTTATAAAAAATGTTTTGTTCCCAATCTCACAATCCCGTTCCCCTCTCCAATCAAGGTGAGATCTCAAAATTCATCTCTCTTGGGTGTTCAGCGTCTTCATTGGCACACGGGTTGGTGTCTGTTTCCACACCTTTATAAGAAATGTTTCGTTCCCCTCTCTAACCGATGTGGGAGCAAGAAACAAAATCCTCTGTCAAGAAAATCAATAAAATTTAACCAACAAGTGACCGCTGCTAGGGAACCAACTGAATCCAATCTCGTTACACGACTGACGTTTGATCCACCACTTTGAGGAAAGCGATGGACCATCTACCTATTTTTACACACAAGAAACAACACATGGCAGACAAGAGGTGTCAAAAACATGAGCTTGACTATATGGATTGCTGCCTTGTGGTGTATGTACTTTCACTTGTTTGAAGGAGAAAAAACTCGGGTTTAAGGGGGAGGAATGTACATATAAACTAAGCGACGTCCAACAGCAGCCTCAGCTTGAAAGAAGGTGAGAGGCCCCCTAAGACTCAAAGCTACATGCCCGAAACCATACGTTACATGTAACGGCCCAAATACACCACTATCAAATATTATTCTCTTTGGGCTTCCCCTTTCGAACTTCCCCTCAAGGTTTTTAAAACGCGTATGCTAGAGAGAGGTTTCTACATTCTTATAAATAATGTTTCGTTCTCCTCTCCAACTGATGTGAGATTTCACAATCCACCCAAAGGCTCAGCATCCTCGCTAGCACTCGTTCCAACCGATGTGGGATCTCACATTAGATACATAGACCCGAGGAAAATCAGCAACTAATACAATTGAAAGACCTATATCTTCAACATAACATAGTATAACTACTGGCTGGAACTTGATATAAGCATAGGTTACTATTAAAAGATGCTTCCAAAAGAAAAACCTACCTAGGACCATCAAAGTGAATCCAACATTGGGAAGTACCCATCGTAATACTCGTGATTTTTCTCTGTATTGTCATAACTCTCTATACAACTCTTTATTTAGTTCATAACCGTTAGATGGTTCATATTCTCATTTATTTTAGTTATTAACTCTCGTTTAGTTCATAACCATTTTGCTTCATATTATCATTTATTTTGGTTATTAACTCTCGTTTCGTTCATAACCATTTTGTTTCATATTCTCATATATTTAGTTCATGTATGAGAATTAGTATTGCTATGCCTATATAAAGGCTTGTCTAGCATTGTTTTGAGGTGTGTTTAACTACCCCTCATGGATACAGGAGAATTTCTCTCTCCAAACCAAGTAAGTCTTTGTGTCTTTGTGTTTAATTTCTGTTTGTGAGTGCGATCAATCTTGCTTCCGCTTCCACTACAACAATTTGGTATCATAACATTTTGGTTGTGGCATTACGGCACAATAATTGGGTATCAAAGCATTTTTCGTTGTGGCCTTTCAACACAACATTCTCCACATTCTGTGAGATCTCACATTAGTCGGGGAGGAGAACGAAACACCCCTTTTAAGGGCATTGGTTGAGGAGGAGAACAAAACACATTTTATAAGGGTGTGGAAGCCTCTCCCTATCAGACGCATTTTAAAAACCTTGAGGGTAAGCCCGAAAGGGAAAGCCCAAAGAGGACAATATCTGCTAGTAGTGAGCTTGGGCGGTTAGAAATGGTATCAGGGCCAGACACTGAACGATGTGCCAGCGAGGAGGCTGTTCCCCGAAGGGGGGTAGACACAAGACGGTGTGCTAGCAAGGACGCTGGGCCCCGAAGAGGGGTGGATTTGGTGGGGGTCCCACATCAATTGGAGAAAGGAACGAGTGCCAACGAGGACGCTCGGCCCTAAAGGGGGGTGAATGGTGAGATCTCACATCGGATGGGGAGGAGAACAAAACACCCTTTATAAAGGTGTGGAAACCTCTCCCTAGCAGACACGTTTTAAAAAAACTTGAAGGGAAGTCCGAAAGGGAAAACCCAAATAGGACAATATCTACCGGTGGTGGGCTTGGGCCGTTACAATTCTCCACATTCCAAGCTCAACTACCAACAAATTTAACTAAGGGTATCGAGTGTAGGGGCTTGAGAACTTTGGAGATGCTATCTTAGTTCAAATCTCAGCTCAGAAAGCTTAATAACTGACAACATTGTCTCATATGGATGAAAATAAGCTATAAGCATAATGTAAAGAACAGAGCAGCCGACCAACAAAGTTAGATAATGAACAAAGAGAGTACCTGCTGAACAGAAGTCCATTTGATATGAGCAGCATTCAAAGACTGATTCTGAATATAAGAATGTTTAACCCTTCCTTCACTTCCAATCACCACATCCAAAACAGGATTTGCCCAATAAGACCTACCCTGATCCCCACTCAAGAACTCTTCAATGATTTCAATCTCCCCACCATTTTCCACCATAACCAACACTCTAGGATTCGAAATAGCCAATTCATTCGACCCCTCCTCGCCCCCATGAATCGAAAAGTACCTCAAATGGATTGGATTCTCCACTTTACACCCCGCCGGGACATACACCACCGTCAAATCTGGAGCTCCAACGCCATTAATGGCCCAAAACAAGTCCCCCACGAACTTCCGATCAACAAAATCAGATACCCTCTTCGCGATACTTTCAGAAGGGAGATCAATCAAGCTACCCACGTAAACCCCATTTGGCAATTCAGTCAAATTGGAAACCGATTTGACAAAATGACCATCAACAATTACAACATTGGTGAATTGGGTTTCTAAAGGGATGCTCGATAGGTCAGAAGATTGCGGGGGATTCGAGATTGGGTGGATTTGGGACTGTTTTATGAAAGAAACATCGGTGAAACGGAAGGGTTCGTCTCTGCGAGAGGGCCATGGAGTAGAAAGAAGAGACTCCGATGAAGATTCTCTGAGTTTGTGGAGGGGAAAGGGTGATGAAGAAGAAGGGAGTGAGTCTTCGAGAGTTTCGGCGAGTTGAAGAACAAAGGGGTCGGAGAGTGTCGGAGGGGAAGTTTGAAGGGAGGCTCTGGTGGTGGTGGCGACGGAATTGAATTTGAGTTTGCGTTTTGAAGAAGTGGTGGGAAATGAGTGAGACGGCGGCGTTGGGAGCCTGCCGATATGGGGAGTAAATGTGAAGGTCGCCATGGAAGAAGCTTGTTTGTGCGTAGAAGAAGGGACGTCACATGATCGATTTGATGCTAATCACTGAGCTTCCGTCTTGATTTGGGCCTTTGGGCTGTCATTCATACATACCTACATACCTACATACCTACGTACAGTATTCTTGTGTCACATGGTCTATTCAACCGTTCTAAGTAAATCAAACTTAACTATGAATTTCCTACTATTGAACCGCTTCTATCCTTAGGAATCCTCTCATTTACCCTTCTATCTTTAGGAATCCTCTCATTCAGATGTAGTATCCATTTATTCATGTACCTCTCCTTTATTCAAGTGTCACATTACAACTTTAATACCATTTGCAAAGACTCATATCTAGGATTTGGAATCCAAATTTGACACGTGGTGACCCTCGCATTTTCTAGTATCCCTTACGACATGGTCACGTTACTCATTCATCCCTTTTAAAAGTGAAGATTATCACCACAGACCAATACGAGTTTTTTTAGTATGATTTATCTTCACTCACGTGCATTCTAAGAAAATCCCTAAGAGATCACCCAACATAGAATTGTTCAAAGTAAAACACGCTTAACCATGACGTTTTTATTATTGAATTATAGTTGAAATAAAGTTTAATCCCAATCGAAACTCAAAAACATTATTTTGTTACAATGAAAACATAACTAAAGTGTAGAAAAAAAAATTGTTTATGACTTTGTTTCATTGTCTCCTAAACAGACGTCGACATTTGTGCCCTAGTTTTTTGTCTTTACCAACAAAATGATTAATATTAATAGGATGAGTTTGTGACTGAAAATGCAAACACATGGAACTATGGTTTCATGTTTTAATAACATCTAAAATCATGTCTATAGCCTTGGGATTAGAGGTATAGTACTTCTCTATACACGACTCATATATATGAAAGTAGAACCACAAAAAAAATATGCCATTTTTCGTAAACCCTACGCCTACATTCGGGCTTACACACTTTCAAGCATAGCCGAATCACGAGAAGAAATAGTATTTGAAATCATTTTTATGTGTACACACAACATGCACGAGGTTCTGTAGGATGATGCATACAATACTTTTCTAATATCATGACATCCATTTTCTACGAGGCTAACATACATAGTCATAGTATTTCAATCATACTTATAACCCATTTTAACTCTGGGTGTTTCGATAGTCATACACACAATCATAACAGCCTAAGTCCACCGCTAAAAGATATTGTCCACTTTTGTTCGTTACGTATGGTCGTCAGCCTCACGGTTTTAAAAGGGTCACTGGGGGGAGATTTTCACACCTTATAAGGATGGATTCGTTCTCCTTTCCAACCAATGTGGGGTCTAACAATCCACCTCCTCTGAGAGGGCCCAGTGCCCTCGTTGGCACTGCCTGGTGCCTAGCTCTCATACCATTTGTAACTGTCCAAGCTTACCGCTAACAAATATTGTCCGCTTTAGCCCGTTACGTATTGCCGTCAACCTCACAATTTTAAAACAGGTCTAGTAGAGAAAGGTTTCCACATCTTTGTAAGGCTTCATTCCTCTCTCCAAACTATGTGGGATCTAACAAACATGTATTATAACTTGATTTATATTTTTCAGTCCCGCCCAACCCTTCTCTAATATATATGTATATATGTATCGAAGTGTTAAGGACTATATTATAATATTTTATTTCACATTTAAAAAAATTATATGTATCGAAGTGTTCGTGAAATATAATTTTCATATGTTATCTTTAAAAAAGAATTCAAAAGGTCGTTTTAGAACAAGTTTAAAGTTGGAATACAATTATATAAACCTTTTTTTAAAAAATTCCCTTTGTGTCCCACACCATTTTTATTGGGTGATATCTATCTGTTCTCATCGATGCATTACTCGTACCTTAGAACAATAAGTTGTAGGAACCTTGGTGAACACATCAAGACCGATCAAGGTCAAATTAGGAACGAATCGATGGTTAGAGTTTGAGTAAGGTTTCGAAACTCTTAAACTTGTCTTGATAAATGGGAGTAAGTATCAATACAGTTTATGGTTATGAGTTGGTATGAATAAGATCAAGCTCATGTCTGAGAGCGATTAGGAGATCTCCAACTATTCTTTAGTTTGAATTTGTTCAGTTGAGAGAAATGAATGACATAGTCATATGATAGTTGACAAGTACGAAGGTCGCTCCCTCCTTGAAGATGACGACATTATGAGATCTATTAGGGTACCACCAACTAATTCTTAATAGATAATTTGTCTAGATTCATAGTGCACTTATTGTAGGATGAGATTACATGTTGAAACCATGATGAAGGCACACCTCGAGTGCATATAATATATAGGTTGATGACAAACAAAATGACTAGTAACGAGTTAATCAAATTATTCTAGGATTTTGAGATATGCCCAATGATATAGATGAGCTCTAATGAGCCAAAGAATGAGAACGGTGGAACGAAGGAAGCTCTAATAACTATAAGATGAGAAGCTAGGAAGTTAAACATTATAAGTTTAAGTTGAGCTTGTGTAAACTCGTAGAACCTAGATGCTAGTCTAGGAGAGCCTATGACTTAGATACATGTCATCGAGGTATGTGATAAGATTCATCAATGGTATAACGTACGTGAATGACATAAAACTTAAGATCAAATTACGAGTCTAGAAGTAAACTACTTACTGAGTATTTAATACTCGTTCATGGTATATTAACTAAGTTGCGCAGCCAAGACGAGGGAGATAAATCAATCTAAGGGAAAACTTTGATGTCAAATGATAAAGAACCAATTTGAAGAAAAGTTTTGCTACCAAATGAACCCAACGAAAAACTCTGATACCAAATGATAATAAATAACCGCTAGGGAAGTAAGATTCAGATTACTTTGTTGATCAAATATCTCAACTTAAAAACAATTGTTTTAGATTTGAATCACTCTACAAACAAAATCAATTATTTCAAGCTCGAATGATTCTAAACATGCACTCTAAACTACATGTAATTGCAAAAAAAACTTAGCAATTGGATAAAGAAATGTAAGAACACTTAACCCTAGTGATGATGAATCACCGTAAAGAAAGTAAATATTAGACAATAACACGGGATTGAGAGCAAAATCGATCCTGTCAAGCTTAAATGATTCTAAATATGCAATCTAAACTTAATTGCAAGGACACGTAGCCCTTGGCCAAAGGAAAACACAAATACTCTTTTTACTACATTTTTTCAAGTCTTTCTTACAAAAAAATAATAATAAATAAATAATATACATGACTTCATATAGCCTCAAAAGAAAACGGGGCATTTCCCGAGTTTTTAACCTTCATAATTTATGATCATAATTAGTCATGTGTAAATCAAGATTCTAATCTTCCATCATAAATTTGTATGGTTGAGATATCTTCGTTCATATAAGAGGGAGTGTATAAGTTGTGGAGCTATAGGGATCAAGATAGATGTGAGTCTCGATTTTTTTCTCTCAGTCGTTTTGCTATACATGTTTTGATGCTATTTGTTGACGGTGTCTCTAGTGTCTTTGCACAAACACTTACAACTTTTAGTTGAAATCTATCTCTTTTGAACATTTTAAAATTGATCAAACTTTTCGAATCATTTTAAAATTAGCGTAAGTAGTAGCTATATGTGGCTCGAGATCATCCTGGACTACGAAAAGAATTTTATTTTGTTTCCTCTTCTTTTTTATTTGTTCGGAAAGCGGCTCGATCGACAAATAAAGAAGAGGGGAACCCCTAGAACCTGGCAAAGTCCGAAAAGCGACATGGCTTCTAGCTTATTTGGAGACGGGGGGCAGAGTAGGTTTTAGTTGTAAACACTCTCGAAGAATCAATTCGACTTAACTGTCAGGAAAGACGAAAGATTCCTTCTTGATCTTCACCTTACGGTTGAACGGAGAGGAGTGAAAGCAAGAAGGGGCCGGAGAAAGAATCCATCAATAGGTGTTCCGGAGTCAACTTCACTCTCATTTCTTCTTCTTTCGTTTCGTCACAGTCGAGTACAGAAAAGATAAGAGAATGAAAGAAGGGAGACAAGACAAAGACTCCTGATCCTCTAACGACCATTGATGATTTAGTTTCTACTGACTTTCCCAGGATTTTCGTCCAGTTGAGACTTATGAACGAACCTTCTCTTCTTGAACTTGCTCCGGAACAGTAAGGAAAGCCGAAAGAAGAATAAATTCAGACGCTATTGTTGGTTTAACAGAAGTTAGTCAAAATCTCGCTTGGTAAACGAAGAGAAAGAAAGAGAAGCGACTGAACCGGCTAGCATCCAGACTGCCTTAGTTAGCTACATCCCTCAGGGTTTAACGCAGCAGCTAGAGCGGCCCCTCCTTCCTCGGGTGGAACTCCCGGTTGAGAAGTTACTCGTAATGCTGCCAAGATCTCATCCGAGAATACAATGGATCACAGCAAGTAAGCCACAATCGTTCAATCAGTCTCATTCTTCGATAGTCTTTCCTTCCAAGAAAAAAACCTTTCCTTTCAAAAAAAGTTTCAAAATTCCCTGAGTTCAAGAGCGAGACCTTACGGGAGAGGAGTCAAGTTCGGAAACTCGAATTCATCCTTCGTTTCAAGCTCAGGGAACAAAAAGAAAGAAAACTCAGTCCGAGACCGAGAGGGAGAGGGATCATCTCAATAAAGGAGTGAAGCTCAGTCATATACCCTAATAGTTCGTATTCTATTGAGATTGAAGATTCACAGGCTAACTTCCTTTCTCAAGTAAAGAATGAAAGAATCCCGTCAGAGTGACTACTTTTTTGGATCGGATTCTGGAGAGGAAGGGAAGGAGTCAGCTATTGCATTTTCAACGGGATCCCGAAACCACCAGCGTAAACTACTCTTTCTAGTCTATTTACCTATTGAAAGAATAAGAAAGAAGGGAAATGAATTAATAGTCCTTTAGTCTGGATGATTCTACTAAATTGTTCAAATTCCGTAATTCATGGGGAGATGCTGTCGGAGCCTGATAAACTATTCATACCAACAAGGATTATCATTATCCCATTGAGAGACTCAATCCTCAAGAAGAATCAATTCGACTTAACTGTCAG